ACGGTGATGAGGTCACCTCTGAGCCTCCTCTTCTCCAGGCTAAACAACCCCAGCTCCCTCAACCTCTCCCCATAGGACTTATGCTCCAGTCCCTTGACCAGCCTTGTTGCTCTTCTCTGGACCCGCTCCAGCACCTCAATATCCTTTCTGAACTGAGGGGCCCAGAACTGAACACAATACTCAAGGTGTGGCCTCACCAACGCAGAGTACAGGGGAAGGATCACTTCCCTGCTCCTGCTGGCCACGCTATTTTTGATACAGGACAAGATCCAATTGGCCTTCTTGGCCACCTGGGCACACTGTTGGCTCATGTTGAGCTTCCTGTCAATTAGTACCCCCAGGTCCCTTTCTGCCTGGCTGCTTTCCAGCCACTCTGTGCCCAGCCTGTAGCGCTGCAGGAGGTTGTTGTGGCCAAAGTGCAGGACCCTGCACTTGGCTTTATTGAACTTCATCCCATTGGAATCAGCCCATCTCTCAAGTCTATCCAGATCCCTCTGCAGAGCCCTCCTGCCTTCCAGCAGGTCGACACTCCCTCCCAATTTGGTGTCATCAGCAAATTTGCTGATGATGGATTCAATCCCCTCATCTAAATCATCAATAAAGATATTAAACAGGACTGGACCCAACACAGACCCCTGGGGAACACCACTGGTGACCGGCTGCCAGCTGGATGCAGCTCCATTCACCAGCACTCTCTGGGCCCGACCCTCCAGCCAGCTCCTAATCCAGGAGAGGGTACACTTGTCCAAGCCATGGGCTACCAGCTTTTCCAGGAGTAAAGAAAAAGTACACCTTTCTTGGCACTTCTCTTAGATAAAAAGGTCTCTGTTTAGATAGCACTGTGAACATCAGTTACATTTATCTTGCCTTCTGCCTTTTCAACTGTTGCCAGAACCTTTCCTTATTCCTGTAACACTCGATAGGCTGCTGCTCCCCACAGCCCATGACAGCTCTGTATTCTGGATGTTTCACAGCTTTTAGGCAAATGGCATTTTCCTCAGACAGGTACCTGCTTTGTGATGGGTGTGGTAGCTGTAACCACCTCTGTTTTCAGTCGCAGAAAACACTTCAGCTCTGAACACTTCTAAACTGCCAGCAAATGCAAGTACAAAAGGCAGTGCATTCATCTGTTTCTTCTGTGGTAAATTTCTGGAGAGTTGTGATAGTTCGGAGTCGTCACTGCTTGCTTAGATTAATGAAAGGAAATATAAAGATTAGCATTAACCTTCACTGAACTTAACCATCCGTCAAAAAATTGTAACTTGAAAAATTGTATAGAACTTAAATGTAAAATACCCAGTTCCCTTCAGTCGCAGTAAGTATTTCAGCTTTTGAAATGTGCGGATAAATGTATTTGCACTTTGCAGGTTACAATAAGCAAATGTAAAGCATCTTTCCCTGTGTCTCAGGGCAAGTGTTGAAGTCATAAGTTCTTCATTCCAGCTTCTCTCTATTAAGGAAAGTGTCAGAACTTCAGGTAGCTTTTTTTTTTTCTTGAGGAAGAAGGGATAAGAGAGGATAGGTGTGGGGGAGTGGAAATCTGTTCATGAGAGAAGCCTGTAAGATTCAAAACACCAGGGTTTGTTAGTTTATCTGGGAGGAAGTGTCTTTTTAGGTCCCAAAAGACAGACGTTGGGCTTCTTCCCACTTAATTAAATCAATAAATCCATTTTATTTTCAGACTGTAAATAAGAACTTAATCAAATTTAAACTTTCTCAAAAGATGATTTTCATCCTTTTTTCCACCTCCCTCTTGACTAGGAAATGATTAGTTTCTGACTGCATTTTGGGAACTCAGGCATCGTAGCATACTGGTGAATGCTTCCTCCTAGCCAATGAATGCCAGTTCATTATTATCACAGTCTAAAAGGGATGCAGGCAGATCAACCTCTCATTGCTGTATTGTTAGCACTGTTATTTTTATAATGGTTATAGGTGTTTTCATCAGGAGGTGCTGGTCCACTAGGATTCCAGTAAGAACGGCACCCAGACTCTGTAAAGTGTCATTTAAAGTGGCGTTTATTGGAGCTGATCCTGAAAAGAGGGACTAGTATAAATAATCTTATATAGCACAGATACAACCTCCTTTCTACTTGAAAGGAGGTTGTAGCCAGATGGGTGTCGGTCTCTTCTCCCAGGCAACCAGCAGTAGGACAAGAGGGCATGATCTTAAGCTGTGCCAGGGGAAGTTTATGTTGGATATTAGGAAGAAATTTTTACAGAGAGAGTAATCAGTTATTGGAATGGGCTGCCCAGGGAAGTGGTGGATTCACCGTTCCTGCAGGTTTTTAAGATGAGATTGGATGTGGCACTTAGTGCCATGGTCTAGTAACCATGGCAGTGTTGGATCGAGGATTGGACTTCATGATCTCGGAGGTCTTTTCCAACCCAGTTGATTCTGTGATTCTATGAATGCACATACAGCAAGCTGTGTACTCTCTGTCCATGAGGAGAGTTTCCCCTCTTTTGGTATTTCGAGCTATTGTTGTATTTTCTTACATATTGCGACTGTCAAGCAGAAAGGAAGTTCATGTGAGAACTTGATGCTTCCCTGTTCCCTAAAGGTGAGGATACACAAGTGGCTCAGTTGCTGGTACCATGTGGGAGCTGCCTGCAGGCTCCTCTGTTACAATCAGCTGCTTAGATTTATCCTGCACCCTAGGAATTTGTGCAGCATAATCCAAGCCCAGACCTACTCAAGTCAACTGTTACGATCACAGAAGTCATGATGAATAGGGCTCTTCTGGTCAGGATAACTGCATCACTTTAGCTTAAAAAAGAAAGTGGTCTAACTCCCAGTATTTACCATACTGGGTAGAGTTGTCTCTGTGTGCATTTATCAACAAAGTATTCATCTTCAGGATGAATTTGTTGCTCAAAAGTTGGCTTTCACATGTGAGAAATGGTGTAGCTTTCTATTTTCTATATAGAACCATATTAACCTTTTAAAGCTATTGCACCTCTGACAATTTCTAGCTGTACAACAGTGTTTTTATTTATGAACCTCTTGGCAAGCTGTATGTCCCTGAGAATAGCTCAGTTGTTCAGAGAATGGTGCTAATAACGCCAAGGTTATGGGTTTGATTCCCATATGGGCCATTCACTCGAGTTGAACTTGATGATCCTTGTGGGTCCCTTCCAACTCAGAATGTTCTGTGAAATCTGTGAAATTTTGCATGAAATACCTTTCATAAATATAAATGTACATAGGTATTTTTAAACTTCTTGTGAGTGAAAATGTGATGCTCTAAAAAATGTATTTTGGTTGGAATATGATAAAGGAAGCAATGCTCTATCTAAGGTGTCTATGAAACAGAAGTGTACCTCAGCTTGGTGTGATGTTATGCTCCAATTGAAAATACTTTAAATAATACTGTATTTAAGAAGGAAATCAGTCTGGCAGCTTTATTTTTTCAGTTTTAGTTTCCTGTATTAAAAATATACCAAGCTTACTAGCTGAGATGCAGAATGGCTAAGCTATACTGAGATCTTAAAGCCTTCAGCAGTTGCATTGACTAAATTGTAGGAATACTCATAACTTCTAGTAGTTATCTTTAGTAAAGATAGATTAAATGTTGAATGTGTGACCTTTTTTACATGCAAGGATACACTCATGGTGCTTTCTACTGCTGTGGAAATGGATGTGCAAGAGAGAGCATCAAATTGTAGAGTAAACATTTGTAGAGCATAAGGCCTGCAAAATGATATACAAATTAACCTAGACATGTGGCATTTTTGAGGGGTGGAGGGTCTTTTGTTTGCTTTTGTCTAAGATATAGCCTTACTCCAAGCTTATATCTCAAGTAAATTTGTATACTTGGCATTTGAAAGTAATGTGAGAGCAGGTAGTAGTGCTATTTTGCATTGTGTGCTAGTATACGAGTTCACCAGCATATCTGTTCTTGCACATGAGTAATGAGGTAAGTTTTATCTAAGTAATTGACCTGTTTAACTCCGGTTGGTTTTGGTTGGGTGTTTGGTGGTTTTTTTTACAGTGGCAAAAAGCTTTTCCTAGAGCAAATCAGTTATAGAAAATTTCTCCTAAATTATTCCCGTGCGTTAAGGTATAGAGACGTTGTGTTGACATTTTGATTCTTAAAAGGCATAGAATAAGCTAAAGGTTGTATATAAGTTGTACTAATTCTGAAGTTATGACCTGCAGCCAGTGATACCAAGGTTTTGTATGCTTTGTATCAGTTCCCTTCTCACAGGGAACCAAAGACATGGAGCTCTGATAAGGGCCAAATGTAGTCTTTTACAACCCCTTTGCGAAGTGTATATATCCAGGGCTATAGATTGTAGTCTGAAATATGGCAGCTGTTTCCTAATATTTTGTAAGGAGCTGCTCAGAAACAGTTATAGGTGTGAGACTAAAGCTAATAATTGACTTTGAAAATATACCTAATGCTTAATAGTACAAAGTAGAGTGATCTATCTCCTACTTACATAAAACTTACTTCAAAGAATTTTAAGACTTGTGATTTTATTATCTTGAAGTGAGTAGAAAAATGCGAGGAAAAAAAGCACTGGTGGATGGAGACTTAGAAAATCACACTGACATCTGCCTCTAACTTTATTTGTTGTTTACTTGTCTTTTGCATGTTACTGTTGTTAACACGGTTCTTTGATCAAGTTTTTGTTTGCTTTAGAGTTTTTAATTTCTTTTGTCTAGAAACTAAGATTGTTGCCATTTACCTTCTTGTCCAGGTGATTAACGACACTTTGGTTGGTTGAGTTTTTTTCTGGTTTGGTTTTTTTTTGTTTGTTTGTTTGAGTTGGGGTTTTTGTTTTGTATGGGTTTTTTTGTTGTTGTTTTGTGGGTAGTTTTTTGGTGTGTTTTTGTGTATTTTGTTTGGGTTTTTTGTTGGGTTTGTTTGGTTTGGGGTTTTTTGTTTGGTTTATTGTTTGGTTTTGTTTGGGGGTTTGTTTTGTTGTTTTTTTATAATACTGAGGTGAAGAAACTTATTGAGAGACTGGAAAACTGTTTCTAAATTTTTAATGGGATTGTATGTCTGTATCTTCTACTCACTCACCTTTTCTGTGCAAAAATCTCCCTCTTCTTAGCTGCTCTCACCTTAAAGATCATCTGGCACTTCACCGATAGTGTTACGAGGAGGGTAGACTCCTTGCTATGTCAGATGTCATTTAACTTCACTGCTTAATTCTAACCATTTTTCTAACCATAACAACCAAATATTTTTAGAAGAGTAATTTTAAAGCATAAAGATTTAGTTTGAGTACTCGAACTTGAAAGAACAGATGGGTCTTATTTTATTTCGAAGTATGAAAGCCTATGAAGTAACAGAAGCACCAGCAGCAACAATTACAGCAACTCTAAAACACACACACAGCTGTCTATCAAGCAGCTTGGAATCAAGTTATTTTTAACCCTTTTTTCTCCACGGTACAAAGTATTCATATGAGATACAGACTAATTTGCTTTGACCATTTTAGTCAAAGTAAACAAACTATATCTTGTTGCATACTGATTAAACTTTTCTGCAGCAACTGGAGAGTTTTCCTAAAACCATCGTGAGTGTTATAGAGGAGTGATTTGATAAGCAATGCTGTTGCCTGGAGGAGTGTTCTTTTTTTTTTGTTTATTTGATGTTTTTGCCCTTAGTGGAACTTTAACACTGTTTCATGCTCTAGTACATGAATCTTCAAGATCTGTTGTTTTGGGGTTTTTTGCATTAAGAGCTTTCTCAAACTTTTATTCACCTTTAGCAGAAAAGGTTTGATTTTTAAACCACAGACAAATGATTCCATTGTATGTCTGTAGATACTATAACCTCCTATTCAGTAATTGCCGTAAGACAACAATAATGCTTGTCTATTTCAAAGCTACCTGTGAAATCTTATTTCTGATAGCAGTATAATTGATGCTTCGATGCCAAAGGAACCAAAAATCCTTTAAGTTGTATAATTAAATTATCGTTCTGGTCTAAGAATCACTGGCAATTTAGTTAATTACTGTCTCTTTAAAAAAGAAAAAAGTGGTAAAACTGGAGTGCGATGGTTAGCCTGTAGTTAGCAGGTTTCTTTAATCAAAGAATGACTTTGATGCATGGATGTTTTCCGTGACTTTCATAGTTATAGTCCACAGTGAGGTAAGTGGCATTAATTTTTCATAAATTCGCACATCCCTGTGTCCTTTTGCCCCTTCTTGTGCTGAGATATATTCCTTCAGTAGTTTTTGAGCTGTTACAAAGTGGAGAGGTTTCTTGCTTATTATGAGAATTTAATTCATAACATTGAAACTGCTAGACTGAATGACATGTTTAATAAAATTTGGGACCTCTTATTTGGCCTTTTTATGTAAACAGCGTGGGAAGCTAATAAAGCTATTAAAAGCTTCAATTTATTTTATTTATAGAAACCCTTCTAAAGAAATATTTTCTGGGAAGAAGGAATGCAGTGAGGAGAAGGCATAGGAAAATGCACAGCCTAAAGCTCTGGTGGTAGTATTTAAAATTGATGCCTTTGCTAATCTAATATGAGTTCACCACAGATCCCAAGGGAGCTTGATGCAGGATTCCAAAGAAATTTATTAACATCCAAAGTGTGTTTTTTATAATAAAAGTCAGGGGTTTTTCTTAATGAAAAAAACCCCATGTGCTTTTTTTATATTTGAAGAGGGGAAAGAAAATGCACAGTGGATCACTTAGCATTCTGTTTAATGATTTTGTATGCATTCACTTTGATCTAAACCCACGTCTGCTTTGTTCATGAACTTGAGCATTGAGCAGGATTTTTATTTTTGTGAAAATGCACAATTAGCTCTAAGTGTTTAATAATTTTTATTTAATAATTTTTATTTAATAGTGTCATTATTTAAGTAATTTATTTCAATTTCTTCAGGTTTAATATTAACTATAAATGTTACATAGAGATAATTGTTAATGTTAAGTGCCCTCTGGTAGTGAAATAACTTGACTGCATTATTGAATGCTGCTCTGGTAATGCTAGCTTCTTTCACAGAAAAATCTGGCCTGGTCTGCTTCTCTTACAAAATTACAGATAAAGAAACTACAGAAGTTAGACCAATCTACAGGAAGAAATGACACAGTTTTGCAGCATTTTGCAAGTGCACGAGTAGACTGAGCCATTAAAAACATTTAAAGGAGAATACCAATAAGGCATAAGGCAGGCTGGAGTGAGAGTAGTGTACTTAACCACTTGTTGGCCAGTCAGTCAGGAATACACCAGGCAACAATGAATTTCAACCAACTTCTAGGAACAGGTATGTTGAAATCCCTGTAGCCTTGTAGCTTTTCTTCCTGAACCTTTGGGAACACTCTGAAGTGGAATGTGAGAGTACTTGATGTTCTGCTCACTTGGAGAGCTCTTCCTCTGAGAGGATGTCAGAGAGGATCTGATGACTAGGATTTGGGTTTTGATTCTTGCTTGTTTCAGAACTTTAGATTTTTATAGTTTAGGTAGAATAGTGCCAATATGCCACTCCAAGCAAGTAAAAATATATAGTGTAACAACAATGAAATAGCATGGGATCCCTTTCAACATTTAAATTTGCTGTAATTATGTTTAAAACAATTCTTGTGGGATTTGTTATTTGTCTTGCCTGTGTGACACACAAGAAGTCAAAAGCACCCAGCAGCATTATGACTAATGAATAATTATGATTAATGAATAATACTTTTCTTTAATGGAATCTATGTTGTATTAGAATTAAGATATTAAATTTACTTGACCTTTGAACAGAAAATAACAACACAGCGAATTGGCTGTCTTGCTTTATCTAAATTATGTCAGCAGATGGCAATTTATGCAGTATCTTTGCAGCAAGAAAGCTTATTTAGCTTAGTTGTTTCATTTCTACACTTTGCATTTCATGCATATTTAAAAATAGGAAAAATATTTAATACTTCACTATGCTATCTAGTTTGTTGACAGTATTTCCAAACATTAATAGAAGAAACCTGCATTTTGTGGCCATTATAGATCCTGAAATAGTCAGATTTGCTGATGTAGTTAGGCTGTCAATACCTCTACGGCATAGGTGGCTTATCCTGGTGTATGCATGAGAACAGGAAACTGAGGCTTATAGAGACTGAGGGCATAATTCCTGAAACCTTAGCTAGCTTTTACTGCTTTGGTTATTTTAGGAACCAGAACTTGTCATTAAATAGTACAAAAAATAGCAGAACCGTGTTGAAACTTGGGGCTAAAATTATAGGTCACTATTCTACACCAGGACTATTCTTGCTAAAGTTCAGTATTTCTCCACTGTAAGGGCATCTTCTAAATTCACCTAATTGCTTATAAAAAAGTCATTATTTCCTAAACTTAAGATGCTGACAAACCTGTGTTTTGGTGAGTAGTATATTTCTGTGGTCCTCATCTACTTAATTCTTAGGAATTATTTTGGTCTGTAGTAAGTATGGTAAACTAATAACTAACAATGGCTTAATTTCTTCCTTTTGATAGTGTTTGTGGTCTGTTACAACCTTTTTTTCCCTGAAAGATGAACATTTTGAGAAAGTTCTTGTGACATTTCCTAGACAATTCCTAATTGGAATTAAAGTTTTCATTTTGAGAACCACAAGTAATATTTCCCCCCCCCTTAAAAGTGTGTGCATTGATGTTATGTGGGCTGTCAGAGATGTGTACATATGTAGAGCTCTTAGACTGAGTTGTGTGCTATTAGATTATTTTTTATTTTTAAACAGGAGATCCTGAGAAGGAGCTTAATCCCAAGAAGAAGATTTGGGAGCAAATCCAACCCGATCTTCATACCAATGACCAGTGTGTTGCTACATACAAAGGAGTTCCGTTTGAAGTGAAGGGGAAAGGAGTCTGCAGGGCAGAGACCATGGCAAACAGCGGAATTAAATAAATAAATGGTTTTTAGAAACTTTTTCAGTTGTTGAAATGGAAAGTGATGCAAGCACAATAAAAAACATGAAGTGCATGGCTAAGACCCTTTTCGTTTGACTCCTTTTCCAGAGATCTAGAATGTGTTATTCCTCTAACATTTTGACCATTGACTTATTTACCATTTTTACTGTCCTTGAGGTTACGTGTTGTCAATAGTTATTAACCACTCAGTGTTCGTAACTTAATCGCCAAGGCTTGTTCGTGGTAGGACTACAGGCAGACAAGTATATTTTCTGGACAGCTTAAAGGTGCAGAGGATCTATGCAGCAAGAACATCTCATTAAGGAAAAATTTCTGCCATGTTCCTTGTGTGCTAATTGCAGTACTGGCAGTAGGTTAGTGAAGACCACAATTGTCCTTATTCTTCTAGTCACCTTGTAATAGTTTTTCTCCTTTTCTTCCAAGCAGTTTTCATATACATTATAAGCCTTTGCACCTTCATTCTTGCCTGTGTTATCACCATAGTCTGCAGACACTTGTAACAGGAAGATTAAACCATGGTGCTTCATGCCCTAAGATTTGCAAGTGGACATACTTTCATGTCCCTCAACTAGACTGTTACAATTTCATTAAGATCAAAGCTGCTGATTTGCTAAAATGGTTCTTTATCTAGTCCACCTGGGTATTTCATCCCAAATGATAGATAGAACTAAGAAATAATGAATCACAAATAGATTGCTGGAACTAGTCCAATACAAAAAAAAAAAAAAATCCATTTCCAGTGTCCAAACAGGTATAAAATTGATTGTTTTGTTTTGTTTTAATGCGGTTTTTATGCAATGCTACTTTATAGAAAAGAAGCTTTGGTTTTAACAGAAAGAGCTTCAGTTTTTACAATTAGAATTATTCCATAGTCATCACCATGGCTGGGCTTCGCGAGCGAAGATTTGGGAAGGGCCCTACCCATATTTGTTACAAGCGTGTTGGTGGCTAATGAGGCCAATACAAGATAGACATGCCCGGTTGCAAAAGGCACAGCAGAAAGACTCCTTAGGTGGTATATTCTGCAAGACACGATTCTTTCTGTGTTGTCTTTTCTCCTCAAGGGTGATCCTGCGTGTGTTCTCAAAGGCATCAGCAGCGTTATAGATGGTGTGTCTCCAGGCCTCCCGATTGGAGGCCAGAGTAGACCAGTTATGGTGATCAATATGGCCAAGGCTGAGATGTTGTTTCAGGGAGTCCTTGTATCTTCTCTTCAGGGCTCCTCTCATGCAGCAGCCAGTGGCAAGTTCACCATAAAGCAAGATCTTAGGGAGGCGGTGGTCCTTCATCCTGGAGACGTGTCCTGCCCCGCGCAGCTGTGTTCTCAGTAACATGGCCTCAATGCTTGTGACTGCTGCTTGTTCTAGATATTCCATAGTAATGTTGTACAAATAGTCATGTTGCTAGGGTAATAGCCTCAAATTACTTCTTTTGATTCCTGACTTTTAAAAATATGAAAATAAACATTTTGGGTCAATTTACAATAACCCTTTTAAGTAGCTATTTAGAGATATTTCAGATATTTTGGCATATGATATTTAATCAAACGGTTACTGTCTAACCATTGAAGCAGTAAGTGCTATTTTAACTACTGAAATAAAAAAATATTAACCTCTCTGAATTTTTCAGGCTTTGAACTTCATCCAATAAATGGAGAGAAAACAAAATGACAATGATATAAAATTAAAAGGAACATGTGTAAAAGAGAAGATGAACAGATTTCCTTTTCAAATGAGTTTTGTATGTGCCTGTAAACTGTTCATTTTTCATGCATCTGGGAATAAGCAATAGTAATTAGTTCTTTTAAATGTGCTGAATAGCATTAAGCACATGGAAGCCATTTTATCTGCCTTGTAAACTACATATCCAATAATGACTTATTAAACAAAATCCTTGAAGTTCAAAAACTCACTTATAACTAATCTTGAATCATGGTAAGGAAATACTTTTACAGGAGATAAATCTTAGCTTTTCATACCAGGGAGCTCTTTATAGAGATAGAAGTTCAGAGGAAGATCTGGAATTCAGAGGAACTCTTGAAAGCTTGAAGAATAGCAAAAGAGGCTCCCTTACAGTTTAAACTCATGTTTATTTTGTAGTTTTGTTTTGGGGTTTTTTTTTCATCTTCCAGATGTATATTCTATTTGAGCTGGAATATAGAGTCTGATGTAGTACAAAATCTCATTTGTGACTACATACATATTAAGAGTGTGATTTCAGAGCACTAACTTTTTCTGATTTTGTGGTTGAAGCTAGGATTCTGGATGCAGTAGTGTAAGGTATTATATGAAAGGCAAGTAGTTTGGTAATTTAAAGAGATATTTCTAATTGTATGTTCAAAGGTATTTGGATGTGGAGTTTTCCAGCTGATGGCTTCTACTTTTTTATTTCTATTAAAGGTTACCTACCATAGAAAATAGACAAATGAGCACCTGAAAACTTATTTTATTCCTTGCTGTTTTTAAGTAAAAGCACTTGATAATTATTTTGTCTTATAAAATTCAAGAGCTTTCTTAAGACAATGGTTCTTTCCTCTTTAATTATGCTCTTCTGGTTGTCTAGGAAAATGTATTTATGCTGTACTGAGCTCAAAAGTGACAACAGAGTACTTGAGGCACTGTGCAAGTATGTTTCTTCACTGCATCCAGCTTCTTCTGCCTTGTCTGCATGAGTAAGTAAAACTGCAGTGAAATCCTTCCATGTGGGACCCAGAAGTTCCTGTAATGAAAACCAAATCTTAAATGGTTATCTCTTCTTGTTCCTTTTCCCCACTCCCATTTCATATACTTAGTACATTAGCAGACTGTTACATGGTTTTGGTTTTTTTTTTTTCTTTTTTTCCTGGCAGTAATCCAGTTCGTGCTATCTGAGTTGCTGAAATATCTGGGTTTTTTTCACCATTCCAAGACATTGGCATTCACTTTCTGTGGAAATATGTGGTCATGCAGTACTAGCAGTTCTCTCTTCTCTAAGTACAGATGTTAATAGAATTTCTCCAGTTATAAAATGTTCATGTAAATAAGGAAAAATGGTTTTTTAGCTATGTCACACATTAGTTTTAAATCGGTAGTTGCCACATATCCATATTTCTGTAAGTTTTACAGCTCTTCGAAAAATTTTTTATAAAATCACCTTTTGTTGAAAAAATAAATGATGAATTTCTGTGTAACACCAACTGCAGTTCTAGCTGTGACCCAGCAATTCAGGAAAAACACAAATCAAATGCATCAACTTAAATAATGGGCAAGAGAGTTTGTCTTCAACTTTGGTGGTTTATCTGATGGAGGCGAATGGAGAGAACAAGCTGCTTTTCTTTCAATGAGTACAGAAAATTTTAATATGAGTAAGAGATTGGGCTTTAATTTACAGATGTAAATGAAATTACAACTTCAGTGCGATCATGTTGTCTCCTATGTGATGAGAAGTCTAATTTGGTAATAAAGTCCACTTTTCAATTATCTTAATTAACTGTAACCTAAATACCAAGGTATATAAAACTGCTCTAAAGGATATCTTTCTACTTCCAAGATAGGTGGGGAGTTAAAAAAGCCTAGTGTTTTGATAAATTAATCTGTTTTAGACATTGAGGATGAAAAATATTACACACATCTACAAAATTGTGCCATAGGCTGTTTAAGGAAGTCTTGGATTATTGGTTTCAGAAAGAGAGAATAGTGCTTTGATTTGCTGAGGACTCAAAGTCAATTATAATGTTTGTTCTGAAATTAGTATCTACCACTTTCAATTCATTAGGCTGTTATTGGTAAAAAAAATACCAGGAAAGTTTAAATTCTAGTAGTCTTTTCCTGATATGCTGCCTTCATTTGTATGCCACCCCTGATTTGCAGAGAATCATGGTAAAAGCTCCTGATTTCTAAAGGTGGTCTTCATGCTTGTGTCTCCATCGAATGGCACACTGAAACAAAACTGTTAATGTTCATATTCCCAGCACCCAGGAACCTTTCCTGCCCTTTATTTTTGTGGTTGATGAAATCACAGCAGTTATTGCAGGAGCCAACCACTGTAGAAGCTCAGTCTGTTTTGATCATGAAACAGAAGTGTTACATCTGTGCACACCTGCAGTACCATCATCTTTTTGGTGTTACAGAGATGTAGTGGCTTGGCTCCTATGACTGGAGCTTTGGAATGAAAGGCTACAGGCTCTTTAGGAAGGACAGGCATAGAGGAGATGAAGACAGGGTCAGTGACCAGCTGGAGTGCATGGAGCTCTGCCTGAGGATGGTTGAGGAGCCAACTGAGAGCTCATGGGTCAGGATTAAAGAGAGTACAGTGTTAGGTGACATTATAGTGGGGGTCTACTACAAGCTACCTGACCAGGAACACTGAGTGAATGAGGTCTTCTGTAGACAGAGAGGAGCAGTCCCTGTTCACAAGCCCTGGTCCTCACAGAGGACTTCAACCTCTCCACTGTCTGTTGGAGGGACAACACAGCAGAGCATAAGCAATCCAGGAGGTTCCTGGAATGCATTAATGGTTACTTCCTTCTCCAAGTGATAGAGGAGCCAATGAGATGAGGATATAGTTATGCTGCACGTTGTTTTCACCAACAAGGAAAACTCATAAAGTTCAACAAGGGTCCTGCACATGGGGCAGGGCAAACCCAAGCACAAATACAGGCTGGGTGGAGAACGGATTGAGAACAACCCTGAGGAGGATGTGAGGGTTTTGGTGGATGAGAAGTTTGACATGACCCAGCAATGTGCACTTACTTCCAGTGCCTAAAGAAGGCCTAGAAGAAAGACGAATAAAAATATGTTGAAATTTGAATCAACTGTCAAACTACTGAAAAAGTGAGTAGCCTACCATAGAGAGGAAAGCAAATCAAACACATTTTAAAAGCTATATTTTCATTTATATATTTACTTACCAGTGTGTTTTTATCTACGTATCTATTGTATATGTAGATAATATTAGTTACAGCAGATGCAAAAGACTTGATGGACTGAGAAGTCCCTTCTGGTCATAGATTTTTAGAAAATTCATTAGTATAAGATAGATACAAGGTGTAATGTGCAGACTTTGGCAATAACTGAAACCCTTTTTTTCTTAGTAAGTCATATGAACCTGGTTCATTTGATCAGATAGGCAAATTAATATCTGCTGGCCATTTTTTTCCTCTTCAAAGATATGTATGCATGTGTCTCCCTACATACCTTAACTACTTGCAAAAAAAATATTTATTTCAAGTCAGTTATGCTATTAATTTTCTTTAGCCTGAGTAAATTTATGGTAGCTCCCTAGTTATTTTCTCTTAAATAGATACAGCAGTACAGTAGTAACAGTGCAGGACTGAGCTGATCATCCTTGTCCCAGGTCAGATTTTCTATATGATTTTGGACCCATTGTGCTCTGCTCTGGTGCTTTGGAGAGTGCAGTAACTGACTTTTGCTTGCTTTAAACAGCATTTCTCTTGAGCAAGCTAGATCTGTCATGATAAAGCACGAACTGTAATTCTGAGAGAACAGCTTACTTTGATAGGTAAATTTGGTTCCTAAATTCCTTTGTGCCAAGCCCACTTACAAAAGAGAGCAGTTCTTGCCTCTCTTTTCTCAGGTTTATTGCAGTAAGTGTAGCTACGGTGTTGGAGTTGGGAATGGTGTGTTTCAACTGCTGCACTGTGAAGTGTTCCAGTTTTCATCTGCACTTCTTTATTTTACCTTTGCAGTCAACTCTTCCATAGCTATTGTCCCCTGAAGATAAAAGAGTTGCCATTAGGGCAGAGACTTCTATTTGTTTTCTTTACCTGGATGAACTGAACTGCATCATTACTCTCATCCGGACACAGAGGCAAGTCAGCCCGCAGGACCAAGAGAGCCAGGTGCAGGCCTTCCTCCCCGAAGTGGTGAGCCAGGGCTGATGCCACCATGTCTCTCACCTGCTCCTTGCTCAGAGCACTGTGAGGGTAGCTTGGAGTGTCAAGTACTCGAACACGGAGAGCCAGCTCGCAGCCATTTCTTCGCATAATCCCCAAAATGCGACAGCTGCATCCAAGGCTACAGCATGTAGTCACAGAGCTTGGGGAGCGACGGCTCTCAAAGTCTGAGCTGCCCAGCAGGCTGTTCCCAGAAGCACTCTTGCCAGTCTGAGTTTTTCCAAGGACAACAAGGTTGATTGTCATCTCATTGGTGTCTGCCATTGTCTATGCTTTCTTTTATCCACAAACCTGTCACTAAGTGAAGTACAAATAAGGTGTTTAAGATAACTTAAAAAAAACCCCAAACAAACAAACAAAAAACTCCCACAAAAATTTCAAATTTCATTGTCTTTTGAGTGTTATTCTCTGCCTCAAATTTTTTCAGGATTGTGGTGTAGAATAATATTTAGTACAGGACATACACCTCTGTCTGATCAAAGGATGGATCTTCGCTGTCTTTCCCAGTCTGCTGGTGAGAAATAAGAAGATCCTGTGAAAGGTGTCACAGGTAGAAAAGCAGCCTAACAGGCTTCACTCCTACACTGACAGAAACTGAAGAGCTAGGAAAGAATCTGATGTGAGAAGAGATTTAGGAACAAGCAAAGCAGACAGAGCTAAGGAGAGGCAACAGAGAAGGGAGGAATTGGGAAACAACTGTGGAAAAGAGTGTTGCCATGCAGAGAGAGTAATAGATTAGGAAAAGAAGGAAAACTAGGGGAGGAAGAAGAGAATGGTAACAAATAGGTGCTGCTGTTATTAAGTGACTACATTTCAGAATGTCAATATTTACTTGTTTTGGGAAAAAAAATGGATAATCAGGGAGAAGTAGAGTTTAAAGGAGCACTTCTTCAAAGCGGAGAACAGCTTTCATCAGAATATGTCTTTCATCAGTTGAAATAGACTAATCTGAAAGGGCTTTCTGACGCAGATAAATATAAGTATGTCACTAAAAAAAGAGAAGAGCTGAAAGAGAAGAGCTGAAATAGCCAATGCTGCAGCTTCTAATCCCATATGAAAATGAGATGTTGAAAATGTATCCTGCATAGACTTAATAACACAGTGGAAAATGAAGACATAGACTGGTGGATGAAGAGTTGGCTGGGTATAATTTCCAGTTACTGTAATTGTTCATAAATAAGACCTCTCATTCTCTTTGTACTTTTCTGTAATCCAGTATCTGAAGGGGGTTTGGTGCATATTGATCGACTAACAGGAATACTGACTGTTTAAGTAAATTCAGACATGTTTCAAAAGGTAAAACCATAGTGGCACTTGGTAGTTCATTTTAAGTTTTCAGTGACATCCGAACTTCAGAAAGAATTTTTTAATTAAGATTCTATTTTTAGGTGTTCATAGAGAAATCACGAATAATTTTAGACTGGGATTTCCTGTGATTAATTCATTTAGATTCTTGCTGTGCAATTTAAGCTTTCTCCCTCAAATTAAAGCCATGCCTAAATCAAACTTTTGAAATAAGTTCAGTACAATGCCAAACATGCAAGTAGTAATATGCTAATTTAGTTACAGGCGACATTGAATACTGTACATGATAATCTTCCTTACTGAATTCACAGTGTGATTTTTGTGGATTTTTCAATGATCAATTTCCTTTCAAAAAAGACACCTTATGAAATGGTTATCTTCAGTTATTAATCAGTTTAGATGTGCATTGTATACTTTTTCTGTAGCATAATAATATGACTTGGTGGACATGCATTTGTGCATTCCTTTTTTAAATTACAATCAAATATTTGTTCTTTTTTCCTGTAAGCAGCCTACCCTTAAATACTTAAATTTTCATATTGTGTCACTTACCTTATTTTCACTTAAATTCTTCTTGCAATCAGACTTCATTCATAAACCACATGTGCAGTGTAAAAAGAAGTCCATATATGAACTTTGAAACTAACAGCAGCAATGTACCATGCTGTGACTGTTACGTACACATGAATCTGGTTAATCTATTACTAATAGATCCTCATTCAATTGGATATATTTGGTCAGTAATTGGCACTGTTGAATTTTTGCAACTTAGCTACAGATACCGTTTTTGCAGTTACTTTAGTGATTGTATGATGATATTTTTGAAAGTTGCTTGAATTCCACCAGCATTTAAATGTGCAAGTGATAATGGAGGTGGTGGAATTACTTTGTATTGCATGTTCTGAATGTGAAGAGTGTATGTACTCTCTCTTATTATTGCAATGAATTAATAATAGCAATATTTTCATAGCACAAGGTAAATAATTTGCAGACATAAAGATGTTTGCATAACAAAGATGGATTAAAATAATAAAACAAGTATTAAGATACAGAAATTATTTGTGAATCAGGAAGAAAACTGAGGGCTTGCACAACTGCCAGTCATGTGCATTAGCTGTTGGCTGGATGACCTAATACATTCCTCTTGCAAGTATTGTTATTTGCCATGCTGTGTTTGCCAGAGAGAAAAAGATTGTCCAGAAAGGACCTATCACTTGCTTTTTAGACAATATCCTACAAGTGGGTAAATAACTGGTAAGAAAATAAATACAAATTTGTGCTTTAATGACCAGGTTCTAGTCAGAGAATGGAAGAGTGGATGAGCCCTTCCTGTCTGTTCACAAGGATAAACCATCTCTCTGACTGTAAATGCTGGGGGGGTGGAGGCACGTGTTTACTCCAAGGGTATTAAGATCTGTGTCATTACAGTCAGAACATGAATCTGGTATGTAGGTTGTCTGTGGTGGGAGGAAAAGAAGATCATGCTTCCTAGAGCCCAGTGCTGAGGGGACATTGTCATCCAAAGTGTAGCTCTGTGTGGGACCCTGTAAGACCAGGGCTGTTCCTGCCTGCTACAGCAGTGAAGTGAGACTTCAGTTCCTCTAGAAGCCTGTTGTGTTCTGCTATGGAGCCAAGGACACAAGCAGTGCTTTGACATAAGGTGGGAGCTAATGGTACCATCACAGCCTCCTCATGTAAATTCACATCATTCACCATGAATGAGTTCATCATTAGTGTTACTTGGCTGTAGATGGCTGTGTAAATTTTTTTCTGCTGTATGTTTTTAGGAGCATGTAGAGAAGTTGCTTTCAGACAGCACTCTGATCTTGCGCCTGCCTATTCTGGTGATAGGTCAGACATTAAATCTTTTCTTGTATTGTAAGTGTACTTGAGGCAACTACTGATAGTTTCCACTGTGAAAAACCTTACAGCTCTATGCTGTGCACAGCCTTTTTGTCTTAAGGCACATTTATATATGAAGTGTATGGCTAGTGAATACAAACTCAAGACTGGATGATGCTTCACTCAATAGTGAAGCAAAAGGGTAGATCAGTCTCATAAAACTGGATATTGTGAGATAAAATCCACATGCTTCCTTTAATTTGCCTGTAAGTCTTGACTTTGGTTAAATTGTCCGTCTAGCTCTGTACTTTTCATTGGACTGTTCCTATGCACAATTTTAGGGATAGGTACAATTTCAGAAGAATTTGTAACAGAAAGTTAGAACTCAATTTCACTTAGGAAGACTGTAAAATGCCTTCTCAAATGGGTTAGATGGGCGTTTTTTCCTTCTTTCAGAGAAAGTTGCAGGGAGAAGCTGTGAGCAAGCTATCTCCCTGGTATGCAGAGAGATAACATGTTTGCACACGTGTACAAGGCCTCCTCAGGCCAGAGAGAATGGGGGAGGAGAGAGAGAAGATACAAAAAGCCTTGGAGAAGGCGGGGCATTGCCTTTTTCCGCTGGGGGCCCGGTGTGTGCAGCATCATTAAGAAGTGGTCCTTGCATCTGAAATAAACTTTTTTAAAATCCTTCCAGTGCCTTGGCATTCTTGGGAAGAATACCTTACAACAATAATGTCCCTCATGACATCTGAAGTGGTATATGTCCTAGCAGTCACATTCAACTGAGCTAGTAGACTGCCAAGGAGATAATTTAAGTTGGTGTGGACAAGGATTTAGACTACCAAGAGAGCTAGAATTCCAGAAGCAGAGGAGTGTTGTATACAAAATTCAGCTTACCCAGCTGGATGCAGAACTGGGGTTTTATGACGGTTAGATGGCTGTAAAATTAGGAGTAGTGTAAATGAGGCACTACTTAAATGAGACCTAAAACTTGGCTAAACAAACTTCACCACGAAAAAAAAAGGCATTTCTTTCCAGTGTTATTATGTGTGTAATACAGTACGAGTTGGAACGCATCTGGAAGGTCTTACAAGAGCACAGGCAGAGGATTTTAAAAAGTTGTCTTCCTGGGAGGATATGACAGGGAAAAAAAATCACACTGATTTATATGGCACTTGCATAAACTCCTCAAATGTGGAAAAAGTCCTCCCCAAGGTGGCAGTATCAGCCTGCTCCACAGGTACTATAAAACTCAGCCGGGGTCCCCTTGCTCTGCAGTCCTATGCTGAAATAAAATACCAGGTCAGAAGTGAGCTACGACGTTAAAAAATACAGAATAATTACAGGACTTTTCAAACATCTCCTGAAATAAGAAATGTTGAAAACATTTGTCTCACTTTTGTCAAAAGAAATATTTTTATTTTACCTACAAAATGCAGACACCTTAATTAATGAATTTGAACAGCAGTAATGGAAAGGGAGCAGTTAAGAAACAAAGTGTTATTTACTGTTCCTTACATGATTCTTGGAAATCAAGACCTTTTGTTTTCTCTAGCTTTTAAGTTGAGCTATTGACAATTATTATGGGGCTTTAGATATGAGATCTTAAAATCTACTTATTGTCAGAATATGAATTTGCAAAGAACAAGTACAGAGTACAATAAAATTCCCTTGGATGCTTTTTAGCACTGGTTGCTGCCAGTGGGTAAGCTATTTTTTTGTTTGCTTTGGTTTTATATTACTTTATTTTTGAAATGGCAAAGAGAAAACCAACAGTGAGCCTATTATGGATTGGCAGACAGGAAGGATTCTTGTAACTGATAAAGGAAGCCTTATACTCTTTCCATGAAAATACCAAGCAAGTCTAGAGAGGAATCGTCAAGAATCTGAGGAAGTAAGGTCCCTAATCGAATTGAAAATGAGCATCATTTGTGTATCCAGCATCTTTATTTGTCTTCAAAAAAACAAGACTAAAATCATTTGCGAGTAACCATTAGTTTTGTATCTGTCTACAGAATTAACTAGAGTTGCAATGCACTTTAGTCGCAGTATTGTGTCAGCTGCTGTTCTGTTGTAGTCCCTGTGATCACCCAGTTGGTTTGCCCACACCCTAAACAAGCTCTCCATGATGCTTGTTAGGGTACAC